TAATAAAACATGTAAAAACAGTTTTGTATGCATCTTTTAATTCTGAACAACTTTAAACTCTACAGTTTTTTCTGTAAAATGTACAGGAGGGCAGGATATTGCATAAAACTAATTTCCCATGTTAAATCCCTGTCCCTACTTACCGTGCACCACCCGGTATATACGAGTAAGTCCAACTGACGAGCAGAAATGTCCCCTTTAATCCCTATCGAGCTGCATTTAATTACAACGTAACAATCGATTGGATCGATTGAAAACACCGGTTCTCGTCCGATCACCGAAGTTAAGCAACGTCGGGCTTGGTCAGTACTTGGATGGGTGACCGCTTGGGAACACCGCGTGCCGTTGTCTCTTTTTTTTTCTAATTTTCGCTTCCTTTTGACACATATTTCGTGCACTTAGAATGACAAGGTTCTAACTACATTTTTTCTCACATTTTATGTTTTAGTATAATAAGGTTCTATCTTACATCTTTTACCGAATTGTATTGACAATAGCGACATCTACGGCCGGTATTACGAAGTAGGGTTAGCTGTAAGAGCTACGGCTAACTCTCAGCTAAACAAAAAGTAGCGTATTACAATACTGAGCTAGCCAGCGGTTGTCGAGATAGCCGTCAGATAGCTTAGCCGTCACCAAAAGTGCCTGCTATCTCTGAGCCAACAGATCGTAGCCAATGAGACACCGGCAATATTCAATCAGAATAATTGTTGTCATCGAACGCATTTCTGTCAGTTAATCGATTTTTAATCGTTTCGAATCGAATCGACCACTAAATGGCGTTATTGAGACATTTAAATGTAAATAGTGATAGTGATGATGAAATGTTAGAAGGGTTTTTGCAAAAGACGAGAGCGCGAAAACGATTCAGGCAACATATAACATTGTTCGACCGACGAATATAACGACGACGAATTCTTCATCAGATTTCGTCTTACAAAACCAACCGTCGCAGCGCTTCACGAGCAATTGGTGGATCAGATTAAATTTCAAACTAACAGGTAATAGAATAAAATGCCAAAGATTTACGTTACATTGTAAAATACGTCTAATATTTATGTTTTATTTGAACCTTACAATAGATATTAATATGTACTTATACATATATATTTCATTTGCACCTCCCACTTTATGGTTGATTTTCCTTCCTGCAACAAGCAATATAATCAGCTTTCTTTATTTTCAAATAATTTTTGGGAACACATTACAAAAAATTAGGTAGTTATTCACATTGCAAAAATTTAAGAGCTTAACTTAGCGTAACTTAAAATCCATGGCAATGATTATTGCGACAATAGTTGTCATGGATTTTAAGCTACGCTTCAGCTAAGTTCAGCTTAAATTTGTGAGTCGTGCAAACGGCCATAAGTCAACTTGATAAAATAAGTTACATACGAGAAAGATACGCTCCTAAAACTAGATTTAAAATCAAATTAGCGAAGCAAAAATTACTACTCACGCAAGTTCTCTTGTTAATCGTAAACAAGACTGGGGCAACCAGCTTCCTATAATTGCCCCAATTTCTGCTTCGGTGGCTCCTGGCCTTTGTTTCCTAACCGTTTCCACAATTAAGTTGAAAACGTTTAATTTTTTAAATGGTTTTTTCTTTTTTTTTCCTAATAACGAATAGACATTAGCAAGTCTATTGCTAATTAAGCTACGTATGATGTTGATTGTGACATTTGGAACATCCGTTCCGCCCAGGCCACATAATGTCACAACCTATAAATAAAGGTAAAAATTTACAAAATAATGTAACGAAAATTTTATACCTAATACCATTTTATTGAAAAATTCCACATCTTTTAATTCCTCATCAAAAGCCAGTAAGTCATCTTCCCTTGTGAACGGAAACCTTTGTTTAAATTCGGTTAACCCTATAATACTGCTGTTGGTGCATCTGACGTGTTCTTCTGTAATGCGGTAATGGATTGTTCCATTAGGGTGCGGCCACAACGGCGCACCGCACTAAGCCTATACCATAGTATCGCCTCTGCCTCGCACAGAGCATTGCCGACAAGTGTCCACGTTGGCGCACAGCGCACAGTACGTTTTCCGTAGTAATTTGTTTTTACTTTTAAACATGGCCTCATCATCGTCAGATGAGGATGATATTTTATTAGATTCTAACTTAACAAAGTGGTATTTAATTAAAAATAAACCAAGGATGTCAGTACACCCTCTAAATAAAAAACGAAGTTACTTTGGAGAATTCCATCACCTTTACAAGGATTTAAGAAAAGATGGTCGACGTTTTTTCGAGTACATGCGAATGAATATTAAGACATTTGATTATGTATTAAGTAAAATAGAGAATAAAGTAAACCTATCTTGGAAGAACTGTCATGCGCTCAACCAATAGCAGTTGAAGAAAGGTTAATGCTAACACTGCGGTAAGTTTTATAAAATGTTTTATTAGTAATAACATTGCTATTAGCAAAAACTTTAAACATTATATTTAACTTCATATTATTTATACATTTTTCCTTTCCACCTTTGTATTTCTATTGATCCCAATTTGCGTTATTGGTAGAAAAGGGTTGCTGGGACGAGATGTCACGTTGGTGATGATTATCGGGAATGATGTTTCGTTCGGAACTATCATGATAGGACTGAGTAGAAGTAGAGGTATGCCAAGTATGTCCAGAAATTTCGTTGTTCGATAACTGCATGTTCTGTTCAGAGTTTTCATGTAAATACCGAGGTTGCAGTGTCAATAAAGTAGGTGTCGTAGGTGATGGTACAGAAGAAACATCAATGTTTAATAACTGAATCTTCTGTTGAGACTTTTCCTGAACACGACGAACAGGATTAGATCGTGGCAAAGTATGTGACGTAAATGAGGGTCCAGGAGGAACCTCATTGCTTAATAACTGAATGCTCCGTTGAGAATTTTCATAAACATGATGCTGAACAGGAGTGAAACTTTGCGAAGAATGTGGCCTATTGGATGGTCCAGGAATTTCTTCCTCCAGTAATTTCATAACTGCTATGCGAAACTTTATTTTTTGCCTAGGGTTGAATACTCTTACATACGGAAGTAAACTGTTAAAAAATGATTCGTCTTCATCCATTTCCTTTTTGAACCGATTTTCCTCCCTTTTTTTTAAGTAAGCAATTTTTTCTTGTTCTGCCTTTAATAAACCTTCCCCGATTGTATCAGTTATTTTTCCTACTTTTTGGGTTTTCATCTTTTTGGGTAATGCAGTAGCCGAAGGTGAAAGTGGAGTCGATGAGCGAGAAATTTGTGCCGAATGGGGTGTGGTAGGCTGTGATTCTACCTCGCTGGTAAATTCGTCTGTGCTGTTTGCTACGTGGTCCACCTCAGTTTCTTCAAAAGTCTCAGTTTCAATTGTATCAAAATTTCCTGTAGATTGCCTAGGTAAACATTGATCTTTTAAAAAAAGGAGTGACTGAAAATATGGCCAATCCGAATGTTCACTGTCATCGTCTTCAACTCCATCCCCTGAACGCTTCGATGGCATTTCTAGCAGTTTCTTTTTAAAAGTTTCCCTGAGTCGTTTCCAGTGTGATTTTGCAAGCGTAACTGAAAAGAGAAAAAAAAAATGTTATTAGTATTAACCTTCAGTTGTTCTGTTAAAATTTCTTTTATAAAAAATCTTGTAAAAATAGATACATTTCTACTTACAATTACTTGTAAAGAAAAACATATTCTCACGACAAGCTTTTATATCACATAAAATAAAAACACCCTGTACATATATATATTTTTTTTTCTTTCAGATATTTCTCCACTGGTATTTCATTTAGAAGCTTAGCTTTCTCATTTCGAATGGGTAAAACTACAGTAGCAAATATTGTTTCGGAAATTTCAGAACACATTTGGATCTCTTTATATTAAATTCATATGCCTGTTCCATCTCAAGAAGATTTTAGAAAAATAGCAATAGACTTCTACGAAATTTGGAACTTTCCCAACTGTGTTGGAGCGCTAGACGGTAAACACATCCGTATGCATTGCCCAAATAATTCTGGATCAATGTATTTTAATTATAAAGGTTTCTTTTCAATTGTACTTCAAGCACTTGTTGATGCAAACTACAAGTTTATCAATATTGACGTTGGCGGTTATGGCAAACAGAGCGATGGTGGTACATTTCAAGCTTCTGCTTTATATAAAAAATTGACCACACAAACCCTTAATTTGCCTGGAGATACAGCTTTTCCAAATTCCGATTTAATTATGCCACATGTAATAATAGCCGACGAAGCATACCCACTAATGAAGCATTTACTTAAACCATATAGAAAACAAGAATTAAATGCAGATAAGGAATATTTTAATAAACGTTTGTCCTGTGCGAGACGAACTGTGGAATGTGCCTTTGGAATTCTGAGATCAAAATGGCAAATTTTAGATAAACCTATATTGACCCATCCTGGACATGCAGATAACATTATTAAGGCAATTTGCATTTTACATAATGTAATTATTGATAAAGAAGGAATAGAACATAATTTGAAAGAAACTCAATTTGTCTTTCAAAACGAAAATAGACAAGCACCCGCAGGAAGACTTAATAATGAAGCAAAAGTAGTACGAGATAATTTTAAAGCTTATTTATGTAATAATCCGTAAAACTTAATATGTACCATCCTTTTTATAAATAAATAAACTTATATTTACCTGTTGTATTGCATTCCTCAGCCACCTCTTTCCACAACTTCGATAATAATATCGAATTATGATGATTTCTACTATTTTTGCTCCAGATCGCCTCCCTGGTAAACACACTGGTAATTAATTTATCCTTATCCATCCCGCTAATAATTTTTAAAACAAAACAAACGACCATGTGCGAGGCTCCGAAAAATACTAAGCTCAATTTACTGTGCGATGCACCTATGTACAAGGGCGATGCGAAGCGAGGGGCGGTGCGCCGGTATGGCCGCACGCATTGAATTCAATAGTTAAATTTGCTTAGCACACGGATGCTAAGGTACAATGCTAAGTGCGGTGCGATGTGCGGTGCTTCGTTATGGCCGCCCACTTAGAAGGGGATAGTGAAGATGAAGATACACAACAAGAAATGGAGTCCGAAATTGATCCAGAAACTGAAACTTTTGAAAGTGAAGAAGTTATCAGCGACAATCGACAGGATTACGAGGAAATTGAAAATGGGAACAATTAAGTGGTTAATGCACCGTCTACGTGTGGTACTGGTATGCAGAAAAATAAGGAAAGTGGATTTGCCAAACGTAAGGTATTAACTGAAGATCGGTCAATCACATCCACACCTGTGTTTAAGAATAAAAAAAATAAAAACGAAGATATGCAGGAATTAATAAAGCATACGATGATTCAACGTCAAAAAAGATCAGAAGAAAGACAAGTTGAAAGAACAACATAGAAGCCTTTAGATGATTTGTATATGTCGATGTATCAGATATAAAAAAAATGCCTCCCAAGTTTCAGCTTCTTGCGAGAAATAATGTGTTTCAAGCTGTAGTACGAGTAGAAGCTGCATACTTAGGGCTTAAGAATACGAGTCAACAAAACTATGATCATAATGAACAAAGACCTATTCCATATACTTATTTTAACACGCATACTCCGCACCCCCATTCCTCTTATTCGTCAACACCTCTTCCATCACCAAGCCCAAGTTCTTGCAAGTTTTTAACCCCATTGTCAACTTTTCTTCATTCTCTAAACCGATTGCAGTTGGTCTACCGTAAGTTTTACTCCCCGTCTTCCTTTTAAGTGGTCCCGAATTGTTGACAGTGGAATATTATGTTTCTCGACTGCCCCTGTAGGAGTCAGTACTCCTTGTCGCATCTCGTTCATAGCACGGTCCAATACTTCTTGGGAATAGCTTTTCCCCCGTTCTAATTTTCTTTTGTAGCACCGAACCATCCTGGACCTGCAAAATAAGACTAAGGTCTTTTGGGGAAAGTGCGTATTTTGGGGGAAAGTGCGTCAAGCGCTCTTGCTCTCATTAATAATATAAGAAACATAATTACCAAACTGCGTACTTTTTTTCATCTTTGAAAACTCGGTTGCCTACTTATTACAACATTTTTCAGTACGACTCCGAACCTCCACGCTCGTATAAAATGACGGGGAACATTGCGTGCGCGGTTATGGTTACGCTCTCAAATGTTTAAACGAATTTTCCATAGATAGCGATAGTATTTCCAGCTTGAAATTATTTATGACCCTCAGGTGCTCTTACCCAAAAAATGCACTTCCACTCCTTACCTTGCCATATATTTTTAGGGTGCAAACAAATGATACATATGAAGGTGTTGAAGAACTGAGAAGAAAATTGTTAAACATGTCACAGGAAATGAAAAATTAAAACATCAACTGCTGGTGTCAAACGTCTTTTCAGTGAAAACCAAATTAAAAAAATGAATAGCCAGAAGAGAATTTCTTGGTCGGTAAGCGAAATCTCCAAATGGTGGTCCAAGAGCATAAGAGCGTACAGGCTCAGCTTAAAAAGAGGCTATGGGTTAGCCCTGGAAGAACAGAATGCAATTTTAAATAAAATGTCAAGTGTAATTGCAGGGTTGAAAGTAATTAATAATCAAAAATAGTTGTTCTAAACTAATCATTGATTAATTATTTTAGGTATTCTTATTTCTAATCAGGCTTTACTACTTTAAATGCTCCTGGTAGATATGGCACGCCGTTTTGACCTGCAATATTTGTTGACCAGGCGCACAAATCAAGATGTGATAGAAAACTTTTTTGGGATAATCAGACCAAAAGGTGGCCTACATGATCATCCTAGTCCTAGTACAGGATGCGATCCTACATTTTGGGAAGAAATGAGGGTGTATATTCAGATGTTTCAAACGTGGAAACGGATGATACCTCAGACATCCCACTCAACTGAGTACTCATTGAAAAATTGAGTATTCCTTCTGTAGCAGATTTAAATGAAGACATTTCTGCCTTAATGGACTCTAGCTGGTGTCGTTTGCCACAAACTTAAAGATTCTGGCTTGGAAAGCTCTTCAAATGGGTTGACCACCTAAGTGAGGGTGGTTTGTGAAAACCATCTCCTACATTTGTGGGTCATATTGAGGAGCTTAACAGGGTGTTTTTGGAAGTGAATGGGAAAAATTGGTTACTGAAGAAAACAATTTTATCCATAACCTTTTAGAAAAAAAGTGTTCATATTCATTACCCTTTAAAAGCAAAGAGACTTTTTTTAGATCCAGGATTTTTTTCCGTATCAAAGAGCTCAACCGAAGTTTGAAAAGACCAAACTGCTCGCAAAAGAAAGTGGAAGAAAACTTTAACTTTATTAAAATATAGGAGACTTTATCCTAATAAAACAGACATTTGACATTATTGTTGTCACTTGGCAAATTAATTTAAATCTAAACGAATCATCACGTGTTTTTCATTGTTTTTCTTTAATAGGGTTTTGTTTTGTTATATTTTATTCTAAATAACACTAATAGTACAGGTACCGTAAATATAAGTTTGTTTATGTTCAATAATACCAGAAGTATGTGATGCTATTTACTCATGCTTAAAAGAAAGTTACTTAAAGGTACGTAAATAAAAATGTAATATAATGAACCTAATTAGTATAATATTAGTTTCCATCGGACGCTCAGGAATGGATAGCCATCTCTAACGCTTTTTATGCACTATGGAACATTCCTAATACGATCGGAGCTTTAGATGGAAAACACATTGCTTTCCATGCACCAAAAAGTGCAGGTGCAACATGTTATAATTACAAAGAATTTAATTCCATCGTTTTACTTGCTCTTGTGGATGCAAAGTACAACTTCATTTACGTAGATGTTGAAATAAATGGACGAGTATCTGATGGTGGTGTGTTAAGGGTATTCTTCTTTGGGATATGCGTTACAACATAACTTATTAAATTTACCTGGTAATTGTCCACTCCCTGGAATGCAGAAAGAAGTTCCATTTGTTATATTAGCTGATGCAACATTTACTCTGAAAAAGAATATCATGAAGCCGTTTCCATTTCGCAACCTATTTTATGAAAAAAAGGTCTTCAACTATAGATTAAGTCGTGGAAGACGTGTCGTAGAAAATGCCTTTGGCATATTAGCCAATAGATTCAGAGTATTTCGAACCACAATTGATTTAACACATGACAAAGTAAAAAAAATAATATAACTGCATGTGATTTACACAATTTTTTACGAAGGGAAAGTAAAGAATATAGAAGATATGATACTCAACATAATCAAATAATTAATAATCATTCATCTATTAGAAATGAATTCATGGCATACTTCAATACAACAGGAAACGTACCATAGCAAGATGCTAGAGTACAAGGCGGAAATTATTAATAAAAATTTGTTATACATATATCAATAGTGTTATTACAGTATAAAGCAATAAAAAATTATGTTAAGTTCTCTTCTTCTTCTTGCAATTCGTGCAACAGTTCCAATATTTTTCGCTTTACTATGCGAATATTAGATTTATTGTAAATCTGCCTCATCTCGGCAACAACTGTAGCTCCAAACGCATCTATATCATCAGAAGTGTTGCAACTTAATTTTTCTATTTCACCTGTAACCCGTTGCATCATTCTCAATGCTTCTTCTTGCACAAAGGTTTGTTTTTTTCGTTTTTTAGTTGCTGCAGCTTTAAATGTGTGCGGTTCAGGAGTTGAACAAGAAGTTGGTGTTGTATTGTCTGTGTTGATAACAGTGTCTGAATCATCATGCATGTCAACAGTCTCACTAAAAACTTTCAAGCTGGTAACTACAGCACGTTTCCATACTTTCTCTTGGTCCATTGTATTGATACTACAACCAGAATTCATAAAAATAGGTGAAAAGGACTTGCTCACCTCTATCCTCCCTTACTTTGTAGATTAAATTTTTGCCGCTATTTTCTTACCAGGTGTTCACATTTCAAGCAGACAACACTAAAATGTAAATTTAAATTTCACCAGAAAACACAGAAAATTATTTATCAAGTTTGTATTTCATGTTTCAATAATAAATGCCCAGTGACCCAGTGATGAACAACAGGAATTTTTCCAATGCATCGTTCTCCAAAGCATATATAAAGCTTTGTAAATAGTTAAAAACGCGTACATTCGCATTTGCGAGATCAAATTTTGTTACACGTAAAACTTTAATCACTTTTGAAGGCGACGGTTTCTGGGCTTGCAAAAGACCGCAAACAGTTTCAAGGGAGAGTTGTTTGATATGATCACTGTGGATTCCACCAAGCATTAATTTGATAAAAGATTCTGTGCGAGTAACAATTACTTCGTTTGCAATAGAATCTATCTGTTCCTTTACATCTATCTGCTTTCTTCGGGATGTCATAGAATCCAAAGCTGATAAAAACATTGGCCAAGCTGTCAACCTCACTAGGTGAAAGCGAATCAAAACATTTCAATGCTTTTAGACCCAGACTTCTTTCTCTTAGTGGTAGATATGAAAGAAAATCACGCAATATCATATGAGATGGTAAACTCAGGGTTCAGTATCCGAAGGATAGTACAGATGTCAAACTTATGAGGAAACCGCTTCGTAATAATAAATGTATGGGCAAATACTAGTCCCATCCATCTGAATTGAGCTAACTCTTTTCTTCATCGATGTAATGGCACAAATGGAACCAAACAGGCTTATCCCGAAAAGTAGTTTTTTCCAAAAAAACAGAGAACATTTCCTTGGTAAGACCACCGTGATCCACACGCTTTTCTCCTTTGAAAGATTTTGATAGTTCCATCAGTGCCAAGACTGGATAAATTTTGTAAAGTTCTGCCACATCCGAAAACAGATTATCCCGCGGAACTTCCAGTTGCAGACATTCCGATTGTAGATTTGGTGGAACTGAAATAAATGTTATGAATATTTATGCATTTAACAATCTTACAGTGTAGGGGATGTTTTAATAGCTAATTATAATAACTGTTGTACCTTGTACAATAGAATTAATTGTTTAAACCAAAAAAATGATTTATTTTGGTTGAAGTGATGAGTTTGTTCTCTCTCAATTGCTAACAAAATAAACCAAACCAAACGCGCGTGCATGTGTAAGTGTACGTATATAAAAAAATCACTTAAAATCTAACTGAAAATAACAAATGTGATAATACAAGTTTACTTACAACATTTTTGAAATATGTACATGTTTTACACCTGCGATCTCGTAAATCGTCCCTGGATAATTATTTGAAAAAAGTGTGTATTCGAAAAACTTATATTTGCCAGTAAACCCAACTGTGTAACTCTTAAAATGGGAATCATAAGACGTGGTACTCAAAGTGCTAGTAAAAAAACATATTTTTTCATCAAAGGCTATAATATGTTCTATTTTACAAAATTGAGGAATGTCACTTTCAACATTAGTATCGATTAACACTGATTGGTTATCATAGCGAATTCCATTCAAATTGTAAATATGCAAATATTAGTTTGACTTCTTAAAGTAGCAATATAAAGAATAATATAAGTGGGTCCTGTTTCGATTATGTCTTTTATGCCGACTTGTGACAACATATACGATGGCAAACTTTGAGCTGCATTCTCTAAATCTGAAGTGAGAAGTACAATATCTTGCACTAAGGTCAGGTTTAATTGACGTTTAATATAGAGTGTCGAAACAAATCGATCTGTGTTTGCCTTACACCGTTCAATAAATGATTCACAAAAGTTTTGAGCTCCTGTTTGTTTGTTTGATTGCTCAACATCATTGGGTAAGTACGAACTACTAATCGAGAAATCACTAACATTTGGCAAGTTTGCTGTGCTACGAGTTTCAATAAATGTGGATGCATTTTCAGTACCAGAGAACGGTTGGCTGTATGTTTAAGGTAAAAACACTTTAGATCTTTTAACTATTTTTATTTTTACAACGGTAGGTAAATACATTTAAAAAAAACATAAGTATAATTCTGAGAAAAAGTTTCAATTCAAAAATACCGAAATAAATGGGGTATTATAGGGTAGTAAATGAGCTGCTGTGCTGGGCAAACGCAGATGGTAATGTGTGACTGAATGATGTAGTGTCTCGGGCCGTTGATGTTGGGTTTTCCTGTGCGAATATTGGTATCAAACCATCATAATTGGGCTGAACAGTTGGATGTTGAATTGCATGTGCTTTGTTTCCTGAAATAGTAGGCGGACTTTGTATGGGTGAAGAAGAGTGAGAGGTAAAGAATCTAGTTTCTCCCTGTGATTCTATATGTCTAATTTCCGCTTCTGACACCAATCTACATAATTCTATACGTATTTTTGCCTGATCTACTTTAGGCAATTGTTTGACGGTTCTGGCCATACTCAAATAAAACATTTCCGTTTCATCAAATTCATGCCGAGTGGCCATCGGCTGTTTATTGATGTTTCTCAAGTTTGGTAACTCAGCATTTCTCTTCATTATGGTTACCAATTCTTGAGCTGGATTTGCCACTAACGTATTTTTTCGATTTTTCTGACTACTTTGTAGTGATGAAACACTACTTGTTGTTTTATCGACCCGAACAGCTTCTCTTGGAAAAGCTCCTTCTTCACTGCTTGTTAAGTGTAATATCGTCGATACTATTTACATCATCGATTTCGTCCTCGCTCTCATTGTGATCTTGTGACTGTGAGGGTATCTTACTGACAGTTGCACGAGTTTCTAAAAACGGCAGCAAAAATGACATTTCCGCCTCGTATTTCCAAGGGGTAATTTTTTTAGCAGACTGTCCGCTTTTAGTATGTCGTCGTTTCCTCGCAAGGCAACTCTTCTGCAGTGATATTTATTTAGAAGTAGACATAGGGATTTATGTATATACCGAGGTATATACCTACTGTTTTTCCCCAAGTCTCCTTTCAAAAGGCAAAAACTCTTCTCAATGGCGCCTAATTTTGTCCATCCAATATAACTTTTGAAAACAAATAAACATCTGGGTGTCATATTAATTAGTGTGAATATTGTTGCTTTGACTTACCAGAAAATAAATCTATTACGCTCCTTAAACTGTTACCAACACTATACCAATTGACAATATCAACTTTTTCTTCGGCGGAATACATCCCACATGACCGAAGATAAAAATATGGAAGCCAAAGCAGACATTTATTTGTTTTAAGAAGTTATTTTGAAAATTAGGCCCCCTTCAGAAGAAAATACATCCGTGTAGCATTTTTCCAGTAAAAACTGGAAGTAGTTCTTGGAGATTCCAATCCTTTAGCAACTCTTCCATATTTATTATTTAACTTTACACTACTTTACACTTAACGCGTCAATGTTCAACCGCTAAATGGCCACGGCCAAATTATTCCTAAGATATTTCTTTCAGTCTACTAATGTTTCATTAACTGCAACACATCACTTGAATAATATTAACCTCAGTAGTAGTAAAAGTCTACAATGTTACTGTTTGTAGTAGTACACTCAGAGAAATTAGAATTTAGAGAAAATCAAGATGTCGATCATTGAAATAATAGTTTAATTAATATTAATTTTTAATGCTTATCGTACTCGCATGCAGGTAGTATATCTCTTAAATATTGCACGACACTACAAATTTAAATCTTGCAGATACTTAATTAGGGCACAATCTTACCACATTTCTTGTTTTAAGATACAAAACTTATATTAGGAACGTGCGACTCTTATAAAGGGCATGGTACGTCTTAAAGACAGACTTTGCATTCTAACATCTAGAAATACTTCCTAATTTTAAGATTGATCCACGTTAGCATTGAAACGTATTGTGAACATGCTTATTACAAGGTGTGTGTGGCTTTATATTAAGTACCATCATTCTTAATTACAAAACCGATAAATTTAAAACCAACTGAAACGTAATCAAATTTAGAAACAACCGGATGCGAATAAAGAATGTGTGCATTGAAACAACTCCCGCTATCTAAAAAAAAATGAATATCTTACATTTTGTATACTTCGTGTAAGTACCTTAAATTTCAGTTCCGTGTTTTGTTGCCGTATGTTCGCATCTACATGTATTTTTTCTACACCTTATAAAAATGAACTTGGACGGTAATGAAAAATTTTTGTAGACAGATGCAGTAGCGAATAGTTTTTTGTCCATTGACAATAATTCGCAGTTGAACGATTTTTGTAACTTGGACGAGCAACAGAGTAGTTATCAAAATCCGCCAAACAGTGAATATAGTGAAATAAAAGCTTTACTCACTGGATGGGGTCTTTCGGAAATAATAATTGCGAAGATCTTAAGCTATAAGCTTACTGTGTGGCACCTAAAGTGCATCGAAGATTCCGACATTGACGTACTATTTCCAAAGGAGGAATTGGCGGATAGAATTGCTGAGCAGTAATAAGTTACAGGTAATCCATAAAACCATACATAGTTAAAAAGTTTTTAGCCACCTACTTTTAATTTCAGCCAGAAGAGTGTCTGACAGATTCCAGTGTAACATCAGTTGCATCATCTGTAATTGAAGCTGCACCTTCTATTGTGGTAAGTCACTTTAAGGTAAAATAAAAGTGTCAAAAAAACATTTCCTTTAGCCTCTACCAGATCTTTTAAATAATAGTGCAAAAGGAAAAAGATTACTCGAGTTTTATAAATGCAAATCTGTTTTACGAGAGGATCACAAAAGTGATTTAATCGAAATAATTAATGAACATTACATCAACAAAAACCAGCGGTTATCTCTCAAGCTTCAAGAATATTTTGCCGAGGAAATAACTAAACTATTTCCTACAGAGTTAAAAGTAAGTGACATCGAGATATTATAGTCTTTTTTTACAACAATTAACATTTTAGAGTACTTATTTTCAAAAACGAGAGCTAGGAAAAAATCCCAAGGGAAAGTTGTACAATAGAGTAAGAAATAGTTACACATGTTTAAAGCGAAAAGGCTTATTGTCCATCCAAACACCTAAGGCAAAAGGAAAGAAAACTCCACCTAATGAAGAGTTGCCTGAACATTCTCAAAGAAATTCTTTAGGTATTTGTGAGTGTGTAATTTGAACTGTGGTTCTTATTATTTTATTTCGTATAGATTCATTAGATTATAATTCTGGCATAACCGATGAAGCAGAATTCAACTGTATCAAATCATGGTTAAAGTACAACACGCATGACCACTGTTGGGACGAAGTACTTAAGAAATGGGACAAAACTAGCCACGGCAGGTTAAAGGAATGTTATTCAAAACCGACAACAGAGCTATTTGTGGAGTGGCCTTTATATAAGCACGGTCTAGTAAGCCTCTGGTCCTTTAATTAAAGCATAATCAATAACATATTTCATTTCAGATTGAAACGGATTTTAAGCATATGTATCCAGGAAAAGAAAGTAATCTTTTTGAAAAATGGACAATTTTCGTCAATAAAATTCATCAATATTTCCCCTCCCATGTAAAGGACAAATCCGGATTAGCAGATATTCAAAAATTAGTTGATGTTAAAAATGATAGTGTGTCAATAAAACACCTACACATTTCACGAAACATTTCACATACCCTATGTTAATTTCCTTCTTTTGTTATAGATTCGAGAGATTTTCTGACAATAAAAATATTGCATTGCATTTCAAAACCAACTGCAATTATAAAAATAATAAAAAAGGGAGACAATCCGAAAAAAAACTGGAAACCAAGTATTCTCGATTCCCAATACAGTCAAGTGCTCGAAGTTACAACCATAAATGACTTGCAAAGAAAAATTGAAGAAAGGAAGTGCAAGTACGAGAAAAATAATTTGCAAGTTCAACCTTTCATAATCGTGGTTGGTGAAGAGTGTATAAATTTGTTAGAATTTTACGTATGGTATGACAACTTTATTTATAAGTTTGACACATTTCTGAAATGCCTAGACTTTTGTTTTAAGGTATTCCATTGTTTCAATTTTAAGTACAATTTGGAAAGTGAACTTGTCTGCACATTTATTCAGAAATTTTTTTATGGCATTGATTTGAAAACGGACAACGCTAGCCCCACTTTGTTTAACTTCATTTCTGCATTAAATTGCCAATAACCTAAACTATTCATATTAGTATATCTACACTTCAGCTGCAATGATTTTTTTTTTGCAAGATTTGTCATTCTAATTTTAATACAATTGATCTTTATATATCTCATTTAAAATTACTTCATAAAAGTTATAACAATGGTATTTTCGAATGCGGTCAAGATAATTGCCCGCAAGCGTTTTCATCAATAACAACATTTAAAAAACATTTACGTAATCATGAAAAATGTAATGTATCTAATGACACAAGAGACATTTCCCAATCCGAACCATTTGATGCTCCTTCTTCATTGTTACTACCGAATTGTAGTAAAGACGAAGACTTACGAAGAAGTAATTTTTCCCCATATTATCAACCAAATGTTACCAATTAATATGTAATTTTCAACTACTTTTATATGTTCCTTCAAACTGAAGCTTGATAATGACCTCAGGGTCGAAACTATAGTCGCTGTGCTGTCACATAATGTCTGAATTTAAAATCTGAAACAATTAAATGAAGTATGGGGAAGGTTTAGTGCTTTTATAATTTCCACTTAGTCTCCAGATATTGATAGGGATGTCGATTTCACTAGTTCCGAAATTATAAATTCGTCAAATGACGTTGATGAACTTATAAATGCTACTAAAGAAGAGGTCAAAACAGTTTCCTTAAAATTTTCATTGTTGTTGCATAGTAAAAATAATTTGAATAGGAAGGATGTGCTAGACGTTCAATACTACGTCACCCAAAATATTACTAAATGTATATCATCTTCAATTAGATCTCTTTTAGATAGCAAGATTTTGGATACCAATAACATTAATTGCATATTTGAACAACTTAATGAAGTTTTTGATGACCCATTTAAATTTATTAAAACGGAACATAAATTATTTAGTTATTTGATTAATAAGAACATTATACACAATTAATAATCAAATAAGTGAAATTCGATTAAATAATCAACCCACCCTTTGAGAAGAAAATATTCAAGGAGTATTAATGCCACTTGCATTTCAATTGAAAGTTTACTTGGAAAGTGACAATGTGTTCAAGAATATCAAAGAAAATATTCAACATATAGAACAAAGCAATAGTATAATCCATTTTATTAATGGGAAACTTTGGGAGCAGAAAAAAAATTATTCGGAAATAAAGTGGTAGTTCCGATTTTTTTATATTTTGATGACTTTGGTATAAATAGTCCTCTTGGTCCCCATGCTATGTCTTTATGTGGAGCCTATTATACTATTCCAGTAATACCAACTTATCTGCTATCTAAATTAAATCACATTTTTTTGGCTGGTATCTTTAAATCTGATCACATGAAGCATTTTGGAATTAATTCGACCTTATACAAGATTGTCAAGGAATTTAATAAACTAGAGCAAGACGGTATAGAACTGGATATAGAAGGTTCAAAACAAAAAATATATTTTTCAGTTTCATTAATTATAGGAGACAACCTTAGTTTAAACACCGTTTTACAGTTTACAAAATCATTTAATGCCAACTTTTATTGTAGATTATGTAAACGATCCATTATTAATATGCAAAGCGATACCAAGGAAGTTCCAGAATGTTTCACCTTGAAGCACGGACTCGCCAAGAGCGATAGATTAAAGCTACTAGATTTGTACGAAATTCAGTCTAATTGCGAGGGATTAATTCCCCCTCAGGTAAATCCAGAGGTCATGGCGCTAATGTCGGCGGCCTATTCTAATAGGGACAAAGCTCGCGCAGAACATCAATTACATTTGAGTAAAGGGCTAACGGCCTTAGGAAAAGGTCTTTCTATGCTTTTAGACGACAGCGAAAACATCCCTAAACCTCTCATCGAGAAGATACTTACATGTTTTTCTGACGCGGGAAGGATCTTAACCGATCTTTTCTTCAAAGAATCTTTAAGACGCAAATCTCTAATTAGCCCAATTCTTAATAAACAAACCAAAGATATCGTGGATCAAACCGAAGTAGGTAGTTTTTTATTTGGCAACGACTTGTCGGGAAAAATAAAATCGGCCAAATTAATTTCCAATGCGGCGAAAGACCTAAAAGCCCCATCTTCAGGTACTTCGCAAAAATTCACGAAGTTTTACAGGGGAGGTAAGCGATCCTTTCCGACAACACGACAAACTTTGTCGGAAAACAGACAACGCCCGATCCGTCGTCCGGGGAACACAGATCAGCGCAAGGGGCACCCCAAAAAGGAGTGGACGAGCCAACGGGACCGATTTCAAAGGAGAACGTAAACAAGGTGAGTTTTCCTTTAGCCGGAAGGTTAAAGTGCTTTTTCGAGGCCTGTGTAAAAATTACCTCTAATTCGGTTGTCCTAGAGTGGACACAAGGGGTTAAGATACCCCTATTAGAGACCCCGATACAGACCCACCTTCCGACAAACCTGGTTGTTCACGCCTCAACAAGGAACGATCTCCAACTAGAGATAAATAATTTATTAAATTTGGGAGCTATTCAGATTTCTGAAAGCTCATCCATTGATTTCTTTTCGCCAGTTTTTTTAGCCAGGAAACCAAACGGCAAGAATAGATTTATTCTCAATCTCAAACTTTTCAATACCTATGTCCGGACACCACATTTTAAAATGGAGGATTTCCGAACTGCCTCCAAGTTAATACAGAAAGGGTCTTTCCTTACTTCGATTGATTTAGAAAGTGCTTACTTTGTGGTTCCTATTTGTTCAGAACACAGGAAATATCTAAAATTCCAGTTCAATGACGTGGCATATGAGTTCACATGCTTGCCGTTTGGATTATCCTGCGCTCCATATATTTTTACAAAAATTTTAAAACCTGTTCTTTCTTTTTTGCGCGCCGAAGGAGTAGTAATTGTCAATTACCTAGATGACTTTCTTATAATAAGCGATTCTTATACAGAAAGTGAACGACACACTTTTTTTTGTCTTAATAACCCTTTCGCTATCACACCCCTTTAGAGTTAGTTAAAAAAATTGATTTTTTGTATACAAAGTATGGCTGTAATATAGATTCATTTTTTCATTATTCAAAAAATTTAGCTACCCCCACACCCCCGGTACAAGATGTCCATCGTAATGTACAAGAAAAGTTCATGGATGTAAAAATATTTATTCATTTATTTATATTTGTTACATAATTTTATGTTTGAACCAATCTAGTTGGAATGGAATTTTGAAAAACAGTTCCTCCCTTTTAAAATGCAAAGATGGACTTTACATTTTTGACAATATATATGTGTTCTGCTCTTACAATCTTGATTTTTGCACCTTGACGCTTCCTTTTTGTCATCATACTGTGGAAGATGATCGTATTTATCAAACCTTTGGGCATTTGTAGGTCTTATTTCAACTTTTTTCTTTCCACGAATGACTCGGTTCTCTATTTGTTCGGAGGGCCTTCCCCTTTTAGGAGCACGTCGGGTATAAATTAAACTTTCTGCCACTTCCATGCGAAAACCTAACAGATCAAGAATGTCCTTCTTGGGAAGTCCTAAAAGAATTGCTTGTGTACGGTATTCTAACCATGAATTTACCAATGCTAGATCAATAGCATGGGTGATCATTCTGACAGTCCATTTTTTTGATCGAACGTACGACCGATATAGACTTAGTAAAAAATCTAACTTATCGACACCACCCATATTACTGTTGTATCGTCTTATAGCTTCAGGTCTAGGTACTTGTACATATTCCTTTCTCGTTTTATCCCATCTTCGACAAACGTCCGCCACTCCTATCCCCACAAAATTTGAAGCTGTCAGTACTGCTTTGTTATCATACCATTTTGTGATGACAATGCCGTCTTTACTGATTGAAACCGCAGAAGAACCACGGCCAATCTTTTTCATTTCCTTGTCACTTGGCAACCTTGGATTGGCAAAACGATTTGCTCTTATGGTTCCTACGCAGTATATATGTTTGGAGTCAAGATACTGAATCAAGTTATAAGTAGTAAAATAATTATCAAAAAATAGGCCATGGTTCGATTCAGATATTCTTTCGCTAAGTTGCATAACCACGGCAGCCGCCGACCCATATTTTACATATATAGGACTGAAGGGCGTTGTCGAACCTTGATAAATTAGAAAGTCGTATATCAGGCCACTTTGGCCGGCTAAGACGTAGATTTTGATACCCCATTTTGTGGGTTTGTTTTTTACATATTGTTTGATATTGATTTGTCCCTTGAATGGAACTATTTGTTCATCGACACACAGATTAGTTTCTAGTGGAAGCTTGAGGCATCTTCTCCTTACAGACTCGTACAAACATCTTACCTTCCACAATCTGTAACAAAAAAACATAAATGAAATGTCATATTTGTTCCAATTTAGTGGTCTTAGTAAATACCTACCTATCTTGGTTGTTTTCTTCGCGGCTGGTAATGTCAACTATATGTATTGCCTGGCGCAGCTTGTAGAATCTAGATAGAGGCATGTTATCTTTCACTAATGGTATTCCCATACTACGGTGCCAATACATGGAGACTCGAGGAAACTGTAAATTTCCCATAATAATATGGATTCCTATAAAAGATTTGATTTCAGTCAAACTAGTTGAGGGAAACCTAGCAGTATTTTGCTGCGTGGCGTATAAATTTGTCATATCAGCCATTTGTTGCAGTATTTTATCGGGAATATATTTAGTAAAAAATTTTACTGGAGCTGGCAAATCTACAACTAAGGTTGATGGTTGACTTGCATGCCAGTGAATATTCCTTGTTTCGTATTCTATATTGTCTTTCTGTATCCACCTTATTTTTGATTTTTCAGTTAGGTTATGGATTTTCGCAAAATTTTCTTTTTCTTTTTCGAATTGCCCTCTATCATCTTTGTCATTTTCCCCAATTACAATTTCCTCCGGCCCTTCTTGTTCATCTGCCAAATCTTCATCTTCATTTTCTCGATCTTCAGTACTTATTCCATCTAAAACGTTATCATTTGTTTGGTCTCTGCACACTTCGTCTAATTCCAACTCATCATCTGACAAAAATTCGATATCAGAAATATCATTTTCGAGGTAATAAAGAAGTTCCGCTTCTGTAAGTTTTCTGTGTGGGTCCTTATCTTTTCTTATATTTGACATTATCTGAAGAAAATACGATAAAAAAAACAAATTCTTCGATAAAAAACAAAGTATAGCCAAATTTGAAGGGATAGAACCAAATCAGTTCATTATGCTACGAGTATTTACAGTACTACAAATTATTTATCTCATTTGTGAAAAATGTAACTTTTTTACAACAACAAACATTAGACCCACTGAACTGCGTTTGTCCTTCCTGATGTACATACTAATTCAAACTTCATTTGTTCATCAAGTATAATATAAAAATTTCTAAAAAGTTGTGAACTTTGACGTTGCAATGCATACTTACCAGTAACAAATCACAAAACTAATTTTTTTTTCAAAAATTCAACAGCAATTGCAAAAATAAAATGTCACGTCAAACGTTGTTTATGTTAGAATACCATAACCACGCATAAAATTTGCCCGACCTGATGTTAACAGTTTGCCGCATGTATACTACCCACATAAAAACATTCGACTATGATGTACATTGTGATGTACAAAGTTAGATGGCACGAAAAAATTTCGTTGGCTTCGTATAACGCAATTTGATTAAATGTACATGGTGATGTACAAAAATAGTGAAAGGGGGTATTAGAATCTCTAGGGTTTGTCATAAACTATGAAAAAAGCGTCTTAGTTCCTAGAAATCAGTGCAAATATTTAGGGTTTATCTTTGATACTTCTTTATTGCGCTTATCATTACCAATCGACAAACAAGTTCACATAAAAAAAATTACTTAGTTCCTTTTTGAGTCGTTCCAGCTGTAAAATCAAAGATTTTGCACGCCTTATTGGAACACTGACCGCTGCTTGTCCGGCAATTAAATATGGGTGGTGTCATACAAAATCTTTGGAACAAGCAAAATTAAAAGCACTAAAAACTTCGAATTTTGACTTTAATGCAAAAATGCAGATTCAAGGGGCTGGTTTGCGTTTAGATCTGGTCTGGTGGGTGTCAAAGATTTCTACTTCTCACAACGATTTCAAAAAAGACATTTTTGAAATGGAAATATTTACTGACGCGTCACTAACGGGATGGGGAGCATGCGCAGGAAAAGATAAAGTGCGTGGATGGTGGACACTACATGAACAAACGCTTCATATCAATGCACTAGAATTGATGGCTGTATTTAATGGAATTTCTGCGTTTACTCCCCATCTTAGGAACCTAAATATTCTCATAAGGTCTGACAACACTGCAGCCAATTTCAGAAATGTTAATTAAGTTAATAATAAAACAAAACATTCAACATTCACTTCTTATGGACATAAATATCAGAATGCAGAAATTGGAAGAAAGAATATCTTTGTTGACACCATCTGTACATGAAATAAAAGCAGACTCTATCTTTCTTAAATACGATTTTCCTTTAACTGGACATCAATATTTAGCCGAATTTGAGATTGAAATGGCACCAAACGGAGATTTGTTTAAAAAAACGGTACATTATAATGATTGCGCCTTTTTAATGATTTATGTGTGTTGTAGGTTCATGAGCTGTCGAGACTAGGTGGTACCGAGGAATATAGTTTCGTAGCCAGAACATTAGGGAGACTAATAACCAACAAACTGGCTAGTGAGTTTAGTTATCTGGGAAAGCGAACCAAAAAACCATTTAACAAATTAACATTAAATAAACTTGTAATAGGTATGTAATTAATTGGTGCAAATAAGATCTCATTAATACCATTTTTCTTTTTAGAAGCTGGGATGCTACTATTCAAAAACAGTTCCCAAGACATTTTTGAGAAAGCAATTTCAAAATGGCTTAAAAGAGCAAAGGAAAGGAAATGAATTTTTTGTTACATTGTTTTATATCTTGGACGTTTAGATTTTGAATAGAGATTATTTTTGACGTAGCTGTTTGATTTGTTAATCTAATACAGTAAGACGAATGGTGCATATAACTATTATACCTTGAATGGATGTCCATAGGACCTACATTATGTAGGTTCATAGGACGTTACGGTATGTACGTACTTAAACGGTCCATATCGTTGACATTCGGACTTACAATGGACGTCCATTGTACAGATTCTGTGTATATGCGTACGTACTATGTTGGTACATAAGGTCCACATGTGTACATACAATGTACGTTTAATGCACGTCAGTGTGTTGTGTGGGTGAATTCTTTTTAATTTTGGCCCTATTTTTTGATATCATGTTTATGGAATTACTTCCTTAGAATCATTGTGTTTATTGTATTCTTTTCTGTTTGTATGTATGTTGTAACCCTTTTTGTTTATTGCACAAGGTGTGCACTGTGAGATAAGAAATTGGTTACGTGCATCGGCAGCTCTAGCGGATATCCTCAGCGGCTTTTTGGTTCTTGAACGTAGGTAATTGGCATTTTTGGGCGCCACTCAACCTGAATACTTTTAAATGAACTACGGGATTGAGACCGTACAAAGAGTGATTGAAAAACAGGTTCACAATTTATTTAAACAACTGATAACAGTAAGTGATAGGGTTTAACGTTAAAGGTTAGAAGGGTTAGTAGTTTGAATTTATAAATTTGAATAAGTTTGAGGAACGAAATCAATTTAGCTATTGTTTGAAAGTACCTATGTGATGATTGGAGATAACTTGCCTCCTCTTCGGTGTGTGGTGTGCCAAGCGCAGCTTAAAGAGATTGATGGATCGATACGTGATAAAAAATTGGATTACACTACAGTACAGATGTAAGTAACTTGGAGATTTTCCAGTTGGTGGTGTAGATTTAAATACATTTCGCAAATGAAATGTCCAATTAAAAAAACCCTCAATGAGGGTTTTTTCGATCACAAGAAATGTAATGCTTTAACTATTCAATAAATAATCGATTTAATCATTACCTCAATGAGGGTTTTTTTTGGTCCCAATGAGATAATGTAAATGCTTTATAATATAATTCAAAGTTGACGGTAAGTGTAATTATAAATCGGCTCAGATCTATGGGCGACAATTCGATGAATTATATCTTTTATTCATTCTCAGTTTCGATGCCCCAAAAAGTCCAACGTTTCCGGCCAACGCACAAACCGCAATCCTCTCATTTTTAAAGATACCAATTTATCAGCGCCCAACACTCATGCGCTTCGATATTAATACGGGCTAGATCTTTGCATATTGCATTCCCAAACGTTATGTTACCAAAATGACATGGAGCATGAAGAAATAAATGCTACAATGTTATAGTTATATTGTTCTTGTTTGTATATTATATTCATGTAATTACTTACTTAGAATCATTGTGTTTATTGTATTTTTATCTGTATGTATATATCTTATAGTTATATTGTTCTTATTTATATCATGTTCACGCATTTACTTTGTTAGGATTATTTGTGTTTATTGTATTCCAAATGTATTGATTATTGTTCATTGTATTTCTTATGTATTAGATATATGAGCATTTGTATTGTTCCTACTGCATTCATTGATTGTTATTGAAAACTGTATTCTTTCAATGGGGGGTGTATGTTTAAATTTAGCTCTTCCCCCCTCCCAAAGTTACTGTACATTCCAACCCTTACTTAGGTAAAACAGTCTTACAAGCTCCGTCAAACGATTAACAGTAACACGATACAGTCCGCTATTAAATATTTATAAACATTTCGGTATTTGATTTAATTACTCGAGTTGTCGAAGAACGAAATAACAAAAAACAATAACATTACTCCTGATCGTCTCTTTAATGCAGATGAGACGTCTCACACTGTAGTTCAAAAACCACAAAAAGTAACCGCTCAAAGAGGCAAGGTGGGTGCCATAACATCCTGCGAAAGAGGTCAAAATGTTACAGGAATGTATGCGATGAGTGCTAGCGGAGTGTTCATTTCTCCAATGCTTATATTTGCTAGGAAAAGAATGAAAGAAAGCTTGGTGTATGGTGCTCTTCCTGGGCGATATTTAGGTGTCCGGATAAAGGCTGGATGGATGCCGATGTCTTCCACTATTGGCTAAGCGTTTCATTCATCATATAAAACCATCTAAGGAAAAAAAGGTTTTGTTAGTATTGGACGGACATAGCAGCCATACCCAACGTTTACAAGCAATTGAAGCAATTGAGTCATAATGCTTTCTTTTCCGAGTCACTGTACTCACAAATGCAACCTTTAGATGTCGGATTTTTTAAACCTCTTAACACCTATTTTTCGGCAGCTATAACTACAAGGTGGCACCAGTTCCCTGGTAGGGCGTTAAACGTAGATGCAATCAGTTCTCTGGTGGGAATAGCATTTCCTAGTGCTGCAACGGTGGAAGTGGCTATTAACAGTTTCCGAAAGACAGGTCTGTGGCCTCCAGTTCGCTATGTTTTTACTGACGCGGACTTTGCAGCTGCAGAAGTGTTAGATCGCGCACTGGAAATTAATGTAGTCCATGACCCAAATTATTCTGGTGATTCGCATTTGTCAAGTTCAACGTCAGGAGATGCATCAAATAATGATGGAGTTGAAAATTGTGACCCTGCAGAGTGCAATTTAGAAAAAAAAGAACAAGAAAAAGAAGGGCGGTACCATCTGAATGGAAGCGAAACCGTGCTAAACGTCTGAGGAATAGTGGCAAATCATACAAAACGCTAGGCAATAAAATTTCGCTAAGATCGGACATCCGGTTCCGGAGAAAATCCACCCTAACTTTGGTCCGCTGCTGTGACGTAACCCTTCGACCCACCGGGCTCAAATTTTTGTGGTGGATTCTCTGATCCTTTAGCTTTCCAACGAGCCCTCAACGAGCTCGATCGGTTGATAAATAACCGAACGAGGGAGTTTTAAAGGGGGTCATGTCAAAAATTTTGAGTTTTTTTTTAGTTTTGAGTGCCTAAATGGCCTCGCAGGTCAAAATAAATGTCAAATTTGGATTCCTCGCACCCGATTTAGTCTAAGAACAAGTTTTCGTTCGATTCCGAGAGGTTGACCAAACATCGAAATTTACGACGAAAATTACGAAAAATTGTCCATTTCGGAGCCTACCGGACTTTCACTTTTTTCTATGCCGGGACGTAGGAAAAAGTCAAAAAATGCAACTTTTTTATTTATCGAGATATCGACTTGAAATTTTTTTTGGTTTATATGTATTAGTAATAGGGGTGCTCTGAATCCAAATTCGGCCTTACTTTTGGGCCACGAGGCCATTTAGGCACTCAAAATTCAAAAAAAACTCAAAATTTTTGACATGACCCCCTTTAAAACTCCCTCGTTCGGTTATTTATCAACCGGGTCCCCTTCAAAAATTACGCGCTCCTTCTCTGGGATAAGTTCAGATAATCCATCAAAATTAAAATTTGGTTCGATTGACAAACAACTGATATCAAATATGCAAATATTTCACCTTATGTTTTCATTCCTTTCCAAATCTCTTTGAGTACACGTTTATATCAGCTATATTATTCTACGAAACTTTTATTTTTTTTTTATTACATTTTTCAAAACTTTAATTTTTATTTAATTTTTACATTTAATTTAATTAATTAAATATACATCATTATTTTAGGAAGCATGGAAGCAATTAATGTAAGTAACTATACAAACTATAATATCTATAACGTCCATCGAGTGGCCTTTGGAAGTTCAAATTAAAATTAAAGAAAAATTCCAAAGGCGACCTGTCGGATCGCCTGTTATAATTAATTGTACAAAACGAACGACATACAGACAAACAGACAAATACAAATCGTTACTTTATTTTAGAGCCTCTTCTTCAGACCGGTGCGGCTACAAATTTTGAAAAACATAATACGGCAGTATGAAACAGCGGCCGAAATTAATATCAACCAGATATGCAAAGAATTTTACAAGGGTTACGCAACAAGGGATACGAAGGTCAAATTAGAAGAATTTATACGACACAATTTCGACGATCTAAAAACTAAAAACGTCATTTCCCTATCCCCTGTTGCGGCCCTTGCACATTTACTGGACCACTCGGCTGCGTTGGAGGGAGTTAAACAGCGAACGGCTAAAGGCGGGTACAGCAAATCTAAAATGGAATACATAATTCAAGCGATTTTTGAATTAAGTGCCCCCCCTCCAACAGAAGCAGTCGAAATATTGAAAACATTGCTGCAGAAAAGCGAAGTAAACGATTTTGTGGCCGAAGCCGGCTCCGAAGAAGAGGCAAAAGAGTTGCTGGGGCAAGCGCTCCGACTTTTTCCCCCTTTTTGGTACGAGATAAAGCCAAAAGTGTACCAAAAAAGGCCACAAAGGCAAAAAAGGGGGAGAAAAGCGATGCGAGAAAGGTCGTCCCAGGAGTCGTCCTCGACGGATGTGTCGACGGCAGGTGTTGAGGACACAGCAACGGCGGTGATTGATGATGTTGTCGGTCCTTCATCTGCATTGAACATGGAAAATGAAAGTCAAAACACAGCGGTGGAGCCCACGGTCTTACCTGCACCTACATCGGTCGCTATTGAGGTCCATCGCTGTGCGGACGGAAGTAGGCCACGTTCAAGGCAGATGAACAAACGGGCAGCGATCGATGCAGCTGTTGCTGGTCCATCAAACGCGGGCGCACAAGCCGGGTGGGACGACATCGTGACGAACCCCGCATCGCCGTCGCCGATCCGACACTCTCCGCCCTCATCTTCCTCCTCATCATCTTCGCCCTCACCATCAGCTACCGACCCTGTCAATCCTCTGGCCACCGTTCCACCGCCCATAAATGTAGGGGACTTGGTTTGGGCGAAAGCCAAATTCATGGGCTATTGGCTGGGCGAGGGTGTGGACGTGGTCAGAGTAACTCGCCACATAAATTACATTGTGGAGCTAAAGGGCAGGGGGAGATTCAAAATTGCCGAACACTTTGTGAAAGTATTTAATCGCGCAGAACCGATACCGTCTTTTGTAAAACCCGGC